AACACATGGCTTAACACGCAGGCCCTGGCTTTGACGGATCTGCTCCTGGTGTTTCAGTTCACACCCTCTGAGCAGTTGGGGAACTCCAAGAGGAGTGACTCCTCCTCTACAGCCTGTCATCCTCTTGTCCAATTCCGTTAGCGCCATGTCTTAGCCTAGCCTTTGTCCTAACCAGGGGAGGGGGTCGCCCCCAGGCTTGATGGCATGTGTCCCGCCATTAGGTGTATCGCCCAACCCCCCAGGTGTGGCGAGAATGTATCCGGGTTTTGACTGTCAGGGGAAAGAGTGTTTAGTTTACTTTTTTTGACTTTGCTGAAAGGGAGCTGTAATGGTGGAGGGGGGGCAGGACAAAACGGAAGTGAAGACAATCAGAAAGTGATCAGGGTGGGGCTTTTTAACCCTTTTTTATTCTGAAGCTATTTTTTTGTATTTTATTGCATTGCAGCGAGCGCTGAAGCTGGGGGGATGTGTGGGTGGGTGGGGTCACTCAGCCACAGACCTCGGCGCCTCTTCACTTGCACGTAGGCTGGCTTGGCAGGCAGGCTTGTGGGAGGCAGAGGCCAGGGGGGTGTGGGGGGGGGGGGGGAGTGTTGTGTCACTCTGGAAAATGTAACAGGACCCTCACAGCTGTCAGACGGGACCACAACATGGTGCCGCGGTCCAGCGGTCCTGAAGGAGTGGGCTCCTCAGAGCTGCGGTCCCTGTGAACACGTTTTTAGCTCTGCTTGGGATGGGGGTGGGTGTGTTTTTACAGCCATGTTCCTGCTGTAATCCTTAAAGAAGAAAAGCTCATTTGTTGAGTTTGCATTTATTCTGCTGACTGTAATCCCACGATAACCTACTTTATGGTTTCACTGCCCGCTATAATAATGGTCTGTACAGGGCTAGAGTGACCTCCCACCCCCCATGAATACGGCTACTTATTCACTTTCTGTGCAGTAGGTTGTAGAGCCCCACCTAGACAGACCAGAGCAATGCATTCTGGGTTACCTCCCGCCCCCAATCGCCAGCTGTTCTTGGGTCAAAGGCTGGGATTTGCGTCTTAGGCCTGTTATCAGTGTGGGTGGTGGCCTCTAGCTGTCCTTCCTGGGTGGATGGTGCCCAGGGTGGTCTGCTGGGGCGTGTAGCTAAGCAGGCGGGCTGCCTGGGCATGGTGCCCACACCCACAGAGGTTGGCATCATTCTCAGCGGGGCTATGAGAGGAGAACCGCTTGTATCATACCGGCTGTCATCAGAAATGCCCCCACTCTTAGCCGAGAAATGGCCCAGAACGGCAGAACATAACACATTAAGGAACTAAGGAACACAAAATTGACCAAAAAATAAGGAAACTAAAAACCGAGAAAAGGTTTGGCGTACTGCACTCGGGGGCCACTGTAGGAATGCACAGGGATACATGTTGGAACTCTGAGAATTTAGAATAACTTTTAAGAGAATAATGATAGTCGGTCACCCCCACCAAGAGCAGTGAAGGGGGGTAGAACGTCAATCTTGTGTGGCTTTCTCATCCTGCTTAGACAGGAAGCCTGAGATTCCTTAATCCTGAGGAGAGCATGCAGAGGCCAAACCACCCTGGAGCACAGGGATGATGCAGCTCAGCCTGGAAGCTGCTCGGGGTGTGAAGTTACCCACCATGCATCACTGTTACTTCGCTTTGCAACATTTCGCGATTTTTTAGGATGGACCGGCGCCAAGTTGCGTAATCGATGTCTGTGCTCAAAGCTCGCAGGCCAGTTTGGAAACGTCCTGATCTCGCCAGCTAAGTTCAGACCTGACCAGGGAATGACCCGAAAGCTGAGTAGCATAAGAAAACCCGGCTCACCAAGCACGTTGAACTGTGTGAGGAATATGCTTTGGAGCGTTTGGTTCTGCTCAGCCAAACCTGGTGCTGTAGATGTAGTGATGATGCAGCATAAACATCATCGACAGACAGGCAAGTGAGCGACTGAGTAAACAGGGAGATAATTCCAGTCATTTTTGTAGTATCTAGCTGAGCGTATCATGTGACACAAAGTTAACATGGCAAAAATTGTGAGCAGAGGAGTAAGGGGGGGGGGCTGCCAGACCCTATTGGGGTATTGCGAGTGTCTCACGTCCCACTTTTCTGCTTTGTGTGGTGAGAGAGGCACAGTTGTATCTTGGCCAGTGATGTTCAATTCATACTTGAATTGACGCCTGTCCAATGACGTTCTCCCTTACTAGCACATGAAATATAGTACAGCCAATAGTGTGCTGCCTTCTTCACACTTGAGGAAGGCTAGCATGATTTCAGTGATGTTTTTAGTTATTAAGGATGTTAAAAATAATTAAGGATGTCTCTTCCAGGCAGATGGCCCCCTTTTGAAAACCAGACAAAATTGGAGGGAAAATCTAGCATTTAAACAAGCTTGGCATTATGGTGTATTAACAAGAGTGCCATTATCTCACTGGCCCAGGCAGTGTGTAACTTCTGAACTTTCCTTCGTGGGCTGTTGCTGTTCCTCTGAGTGGCCCTATTATGTTATCATCATTATCTATTTTTGTTTATTTGATGAGGGATTGTGGAGCAGCTGGACTAGAAATCTGAATCATGCCTTCCAGAAATCGGTTAAGGTAAACTTAAGTTATAAGGAGCGGGAGAATCACTAGAGGCTTATGAAAAGGGTGGCTAAGCCTTTCCTGGGGGGGGGTACTGGGGGGCTTTAAATACCTCTGATAAGAAGCCCTGACGGTCCTGCAGAGTCCACTACCCCCTTAAGGTCCCCCGTCGTTTCAAGAGGTGAACTTTGAGCACAGCAGTGGCACCCCCTGACCATCGGGGCAGATAAGGTCCACTCTGATGTTTGCCATGTGGGCGTCAGCGTTGTCCTCGGGTCCAGGCTCGAAGGGTGTCTCCCCGGGCTCGTATCTCCTCTCAGGCTGGAGTGAGGTGGGTGTCTTATGCAAACACAGCCCCATGTACAAACAGCGAAGCTATGCGAAATGGCAGCTCTGCGTAATGCACTGATTTAGGGTTGGAAATCCATTTGAGGAATTAAAATGCACAAATGATACTTTGCCTCAGGATGGGTGAAGTTTACTAAAGTTTTCGGTGATGTTTATCTTTCGGTGTCTGTTTTACATCTAAATTAATATGCTACCTTTTTTGAGAAAGCGTGGTTAGACGCCCCTGCAGCAATTAAGGGTTAAAGGCTTTACCCAAGGGCCCAGCAGTGGAATCCTTGTACCAGCTCTGGGATTTGAACCTACAACCTTCCAATCTCAGGCACGGTATCCTAGCCTAGTGAGCCACACACCACTCCCTTCAGATTTCATTGTGCCACTCTCTAGATAATTTCCTGGCTCCTAATGCGCGTAACAAGCCCAGTGTCTGATGGCACAGCAGTGGAGTTAGCATGCGTTAGCGAGCTCCCAGCTGATTCAACGCCAGTGACTCATGGTTGGCATGCTTCTCCCGAGTCCCATGTCTATGGTGTTTTGCTGGCCAGCCGCCATCCACTCTGCAACACGCCCGGGCAGGGCGTCTTAGATGCTACACTGCCACTGTCGCTTCTATACCTCCGTTACTTGGGTGGATAGGATATCCCGCTCATGGAAGGTTATGGGCTTGGCCACTTCAGCCCTTGCCAAACTAGGCAGCATTCCTCTCAGCTAGCATATACAGTAACTAGCAGGCTCTGGGTTGTGGTAAAACGTGAGGTTAGGGGCCTCTTCATCTCAGGCTAGCCGGTGACTACAACAGGAAGGATAGACTGGAATCGATTAACCCCCACTGTTCCCCTCTAGCAAACGTGTCAGTGTTAAGTTTTACTTTTAGACCTTCATTTCCGAATTGTGTGTGTATAGATCTGTGTTTTCCAGTCTGGTCCTCGGGGATCCATGTGGACCGTCTGTGGGTCCCCAAGGACCGGATTGGGAAATACTGATATAGATTAGAAATTAAAAGCTTCTTCAGCAGCAGTAGGTGGGGCCACTTGTCTCCATGGGGGGTGAGGATAGGCCTTCCTCCCCCCCACTCCTGCATGGTGTACTCTCCGATCCCCCTTTGGCTTTCGTTGAAGACGAGGAGGATCATGGAGCTTAACGAGCACCTCTGAAGCTCCCTGAGCTTGAGAGATGGGATATCAGTATTTATTTGTCTCTGTTCGTCTTGTCTCTACTATGGCACTTCATCTTCAATTTAATGTCAAGTGTAACTTTTGTACATAATTTTTCAGGTAACTATGTAGTTATGTTGTTAATGATTACCCTCCACTCCCATCTCGTCGCCTGTTAAATTTATGAGCCACGAACAGTCAGGTATAATTCATCTTAGCAGTCGATATGTTGTCGGCTTTATGGAGTAATGGCACTATAGTAGTACGCTGCAAGGAGCAGGGAAGAGCTGATGATTTCTTTTTTAGGGGTGTTGAAGGTCACATGACCCCCCCCCCACCCCACCCCCAAGAAGACAGCTCTGTTACAACTGTAATTACTCAAGTGTTCCAGTGGTCTTAGTGTATGTGGGCTATACTCCGGGCTTCCTCATGAGGGACGAGCAATCGGCGAGCTTTTCAGCATGTGTTAGTGTGCAATTAATCCTTATCATCATGCTTCCACATCTAATAATGCAGAACAAACTCGCTCAAGTTCCTGTGGGGGGAGGTGCTGTCAGACTTAGCCCCATCTCAGATGCTTTCCGGATGTTATTACTTCCTGTGCCGTGCTTCTGTTCACTGTAGGGTCTGAGCAGAATAGCTAAAAAATCCTGGGACTGATAAATGCAGATTTTGCATTCTGTGGACTTTCTTAGTGACAGAACTCTACTTTGAGCACCTTTAGCAGGATGATGGGATATGATTGCTGTCCTGAATTAAACTGTAACTATTCCTCTTATTCCCGGGGCAATAAAACACACTGTGAACTCTCTTCTTTCTCTTCTCTCTTCCCATCATGCCCCATCTGTTGCCTCCCCACCGCCATCTCTTCGTGATCCTGGTGCAGTCTGATGTGTGACCCGGAAGCCGACCCTGTCCACCACCATGGTAGACTTGCCAAGTCGCTACAGCCCCCCTTCCCCGCTGGAAGTCCCGGTTCTGGGCAGCCCGTTGTGTGGGGACCTCATTCGGGATATAGATGACCTGCAGGACCTCTCACAGTCCATTGAAGACGACGCCCTCAGCTCCTTTGACGTCCCAGAGTACCAGTCATCTGGTCCGGGTTCTGGGTCTGAGAGCTCCACTGTCATAGGTATGAACTCTCTGCTCCATGTGGGTACTACCGTCATGAGCTGTTGGAAGAGGGTGGTCTACACCAGGGTTTCTCAACCACAGGTTCAAGGCTCATGGGGAGGCCATGGTTCAATATGAGGTAGTTGTGGATTGGTCTGTAATGGGTCACCAACTTTACCAGTCAGTGAAATTTATCCAGTGGGTCACTGACATTTTGTTATGGTCAACAGCAAGGCCTCGTGGTTCAGGATCATGCACCTCTCTAAATGACCTCCACTCTCTCCCAGAATCAGAATCCTCCGTAAATGATGACCACACACTCCAACGGTGACACACCAGCCGTAAATAATGTCCACCCTCTCCTGCAGTCAGACGCCACCCTAAATGACGTACAGCCTCCCGTGCAGTTCTACATTACACTAAAGGATTTCCAACCTTTCCTAATGTCACACGTCACTCTAAATGGTGTTAAACCTCTCATGCAGTCAACACATTACACTAGCTAAACCAGAGGCAGTTCTAGATTTTTAACAGAAGGCAACTTATATAGAATTTTATAACTTGTAGGTAGTGTCGTTTATTGCAGTCTGATTAAAAAAACGATGTAACATAATAATCTGTTAGTCAGCAGCAGGAGTGATGTTGGTGAGGCTTGCCAAGGGGGGGTGTTTCTGATTTAATAATGGGGTGTATAACAGCGTTCCTTTGACAGTACTGCTGTAGACCTTCCTGAAAGCGTGTTCGCTTTTAAGAGCCGATTTGCACACTAAGCATGCTTCCCCATGTGTGAGTCTCCTGGTTGACCTCAGTGTTGTGCTGGGTGACCCCCACATTTCACAGCCAGGACGCTAGCTGTGGGAACCGTAGACGGTTTGGAATCTGTGGCCCACTTTCTGGATCTTCTGGACTGGTGGACATCCAGAAAACAGCTTCTTCGTTGCTGGACAGACAGGGATGTGTGGTGTTCAAGTTCCCAGAGAAATGATGACGATAACAATTCAGAAGTTGACTCTCACTGTGCTCTGGTTTATCCAGGCACAGGATGTCGTGGAAGGGGTTGCAGGAAGGCTGATATTGTGTTGTCATGCAAGACTATTAGCAGCTGTCTTTCTCACTGTTGCCGAGCAATTGGCTGCTGCGCTATTTGCGCCCTGACTTCCTGTTCTGCTCACACGGGCCTTAGTTGGGCCAGCGTGTAGGCGTGTAACCCTCTAACAGCAATAGTGTCTGTTTGCAGCGCTGGTCCAGCTTCCGGCCTATGACCTGCACACGCTTGGGAAGCATGCGACGGAGGAGTTGGCAGGAAGCGTAGTGTGACGTACCATAGCATAGTGTAGCGTAACTTAGCATGCCATCCTGGATTATCTGTGCTCCTGTCACTTTAAGATATGGAACACTGAGCTGTCTAGCCCACATGACCTCTGCCAAAGGCACTGGAAATGTTCTAGGCGTACTAGGGGGTTTCAGCTGTTGTAGAGTGGAACTCGACAGCTTTATTCATGCCCAAATCATTGTCACAGATGTACTGAAATACGCCGTAATAGTTGCTTGCTTAGCTGAATTTTTGAAGGACAGGTAGAGCTCAGCTCCAGATTCCGGTGAATTTCCACTCTTGGCTCATACTTCTGACTTGCTGCTGCTTAAACTGAGGAAGAAAAAAAAGTCTGAGAGCTGTTTTTTTTTCCAGTTTCACAAAGAGTTCCTAATTTCCCCCCACTTTCTATCCTGTATTTTGTTGTCATGGCTGACTGGCTCTGTGTGTGCGTCTGTCTCTGTCTGTCCTTGTCTCACAGATGGCCTCACCCCTGCCTCCAGCCCCTCCTCAGGGGTATTTGGGGCGGTAACAGGGCAGGAAGAGTTCTCCTCCACTTCTCTGACCCTGGAGTGTCGAGTGTGCGCAGACCGCGCTTCAGGCTACCACTATGGAGTGCACGCCTGCGAGGGCTGTAAGGTGGGTGCAGCGACCAATTAGGGGAGAGTGGGGGGGGGGCAGTGGGCGTGGCTAGGAACTTATGCAGCTAAGGGTACGGAACGTGAGGCTGTGGTCACTTGGCTCGCGCCGGACTGTCCATGTGCTTCCAGGCATCCGCAATGACAACAGTGGCAGGTTGTCTTGCCCGGGATTGTCAAGGTGATAGACGTCACCTAGAGACACTCGTGACTTAAGTCACGAATGAGCCTCTTCTGGCCAGACTGGTATGTCGCTTGACCTGGTCGAGTGTGCAGATTTCCATAGCAATGCAAGGTCACGTAACGGCACGAGGACTCAACGGAAACAAGGGGGCGGGTGAGCCAAGCAAGCATGAGGTGTAGCCCCATGCCGGTCTCTACATGGCATGAGGGCCCGTAGTATCTAGTATCTGATGATGACCTGCTCCAATGAATGAACGCAAAAAAGTATGAAGCCTAGGCATGAGTAAAGTGTGCAAATGCGTGGGAGGTCTAAAATGCTTTATTTTGTCAAGTAAATCAAAACCAGAAGATCACTAGGAGATGTTTTTGTGGAAAAGCTTGTTGGAAAAACACTTTCAGATTCCCCCATGGTGTGAGGCCAGAGGCAGCCATGCAAAGAGGGGCTTTGCAAGGCTCTTGCTGGCCGAATTCTGCTGTCCCCCCACTCAGATTTGCTAAAGCCACCCATGTTTTGCGTGAGCGGACGCTAACCTCCGAGCTGTTAGGCACAGTTTTTCCTTTAAATTGATTTTTGGAAAGAGGTGCTTACAACATAGCAGTTAAGCTGGGGACTGGATTTTGTACTCGATATTCAGTGACGTTTGTTTATCTGGTCTTCATCCCAAGCTGCTCTGCACCCCCCCTGCCAGAGGCACTAGTTCCTTGGTCCTTGTCTGGTTCGTGGCATTACAGTCACGTATCCTTGTTCCTCATTTTTGTGTTCTCAGTTGACCAAACTGAAGACCACCAGGGGGCAGCAGTAAGCACTATTGTTTTTGTACTCTGGGTTCAGGTGTGTGTCCCTGCAAAACAAACAGTGTAACTGAAAGGAAGAAAACTCACAGAGAACTCTGCGAACTCTTGCATACGTGGTAGGACAGAGTGGTCATCTGACTTTTTTTTTAACTAGAAGCACTAGACTGCAAATACAAAAGTCAAGGTCTGATGGTTTTGGGGTGATGAAAATGTGAAACATTAATGAACAAAAAAGGGACAACCGCTGTTTAATATCAGTATTTACCAGATTTTAAGGAAGCACATGATGCAAATAGTCACAAGATCTCTCTCCGATTTATGGCCAGTGCACCTTCGGTGATCGCCACTCCTGGGGAGGGCTGGTTTTCCCCTTGTGGTGACGACTGCCTTGCCAGTGACAATGAGTCATAAACAGCTGAATAATGCTGGGGCCAGGGGCAGGTGCCATGCCACGTGCACTCATGCGGGCAGACGCATGCAGAACGGCATGTGCAGCCAGCTCTAGGTGAATCAGGGCTTAGAGCAGATATAGGGACGTGCTGTCCGCTTGCCGCTGCCCCCCCCCCCCCCCCCCACTGCCAGCCACATGTTCTCTGCTCACTTCAGATCAGTGCCTCTTTACAGGTGCTTGGTTGTGAAGGTTTTACCCTAGTGGTGTACTCCCTCTAGCGTGTGCAGACTAACATGCTCGGCCATGGTGATCTCTGTTCCTCGTTTTGATGTTCCCAGTTGACCAAGCTCAGTCCACTAACCCTGACTTCCAGTGACAGGGGGCCCTGTGGGGGCGCAGGGCTAGCAAGGAGACCCACATCCTGCGCAAGATGTCTTATACAGATAAGATTGGCAGTGGAGGTTTGGAGGAATCTCTGACGTGCGCCTAGGCCAGATCAGCACGCCTCCATATTATCATTATTCAGAGCTTCATGGAGATTTACAACCTGCAGAAGGTTACGTTGTCCTCCAACGCATAGAACTGATGAAAGGAAAGCTTTTTTTTTTTGTGTGTGTGTCTCTGAGCGCTGACAGGCCGTACCAGGAGAGTATTCATTTCTCCATGCCAGGTTCCTCACACACTCCATCGTTTTTTATAGATCTCTGAGATCCCTGAGGTACTCCACACTCATGCGCAGCACCCATTGCACGTGCGCTACAGTATTTGAGTATTAATGTTTGGTGTCGAAGCTGTTTGTTTGTGCGACCTGGGCTCCCACGCCAGCATGCCAAGGAAACCTGGCCGACTCCATTTATAGGTGCAAAATATGCCTGGATAGGCAGTCTGCCCAGCTACTGAAGACCTAAAAGGAATCTCTGGTCGGTTGCTAAAAAACAAAAGGTTACTTGTTTGTCTTGAATGGCTATCATGCTGTTAGCGAAATCGCAGAGCAGTTTACATGTACTGCAGTAGCTCCTGTTGCTGGATGTGACAGTTAGGTTAAGGTTGGGATGGCAGTTTACATTGACGTCCCCCCGTTAGGGTTTCTTCAGAAGGACGATCCGGCTGAAGCTGGAGTACGACAAGTGTGAGCGCAGTTGCAAGATCCAGAAGAAGAACCGCAACAAGTGCCAGTACTGCCGTTTCCAGAAGTGCCTGTCGGTAGGCATGTCCCACAATGGTGAGTGGGTGGGGTTTCTGTGGGTGGGGCGGGGCATGCAGTGCCCATTGTGCATTCATGTCCCAGCACAGTGCTGACAAACCCAGTTCCAGAAGGCATCTAATCACTAAGCCGTGACAACGTTCCCATTACTAAAACATACGCTCGTAATGAAACATAACTCGCTACGGGGTTGAAATAAAGCTGCTTGATGTTAAACAAGCGACTAAAATAGTTAAAAATAGTTCTGATCCCATTCTTTAATCACAGACAAGAAACAGTGGTACAATCAAAGAGGAGGTTATCATTTGGCGAGAGATGCACCCAGCGTTGCTTTGGAGGGGACGGAGTGTATGGTTCACTAGCCGCAGGTTCGCTGACATTGAGTTAACGTTCGCCAGATCCGATGACCTTAACGAAACAGTGGTCCAATAACAGGATAACAGCGAGTCATCGACAGTTATTCACGTGACCCCTCATATGTTTACTGCCACAAGGTCTCGCTGCCACAGTGACCCCATTTTTTTTTTTTTTTTTCGGTGTGCGAGTGAACCTGATGCCCCCAGTCTGTGAAGGAAGGGGCACCATAACCGGTTCCGCTAGTGTGACCTTAACCCACAGGAATGCGCTTCAGCCGCATGCACGGAGAGCAGCAGGGGGCCAGCCTGAGGCATAGAAGATGGTTCCCTGCTCAAAGGGGCTCGCTGGGGCATGCTTCACTTACATTAGCCCTTACACACCAGGGACAAGCAGTATTAGCCAGTAAGCAGTTGACAGCCTTCCAGCCAGCTCACCCCCATTTCTCCTGAATTTTAGTCTGGTTTCATTGTCTGTTGACGTCGAATCACACCTAAAGAAGCCCCACATCCTACAAACGAACTGCAGTACTCTCTTTACACCTTTGATTAAGACCAGCGTCCCCCGGTGGAGGAAAGGAGACGTCTGCTCCTCCATTGGCTGATGCCTGACCTGGGCCAGAGAGGGAGCCCCCCCCCCTTTCCGGATGTCCTGGGAGCGGAGAGAGGCAGGAGGCTCGCACCCCCTGTCTCCACAATGACAGGATTGCGTGGCCTTGCCTCCCCCCCCCGGTACAGCTTAGTTAATATGCTCACGCCGTGCCGAACAGAATGCCGGCATGCCCCATCCTGCCTTTATACTAATGGGGTTAAATTCCTTTTGAATGTCACCCCTGACGATTAATGGATTCTAGTTAGCTGAAATGGCTCTCATCTTCATGCTTGAGGTGGAAATTAATTTCCCTGTCTAGGGCTGCGGAGAGGGGCTGTGTTTCATGACGTGAAAGTCACTGACGGTCAGTGCCGGACATTTTCCTCAGGGAACACCATCCAAAGCCTTTTTTTTTCCCCCTGTCTTTGTCTATCCAGAAGCTCAAACTTTCTGGCTCTCCCAGTTCAGGGACTAAGTAGGCATTGATGAAGAGCAGCCAACAAATCTTGCATGCTTTTATTTATTTATACAGCTGAATTAATATTATACTTACTAATAATATCGTACCGTAATACTATATTCAACTTGCTGGATTGTATTATGTTTACTAAACTCCAGATCACAAGGTCAGGTGCTTAACCACTACGGCTAGTTGCTGTCCTTGTGACAGTGTTGCCGTGCCCTGTGTTTGTCACGTACCAAGGACCTTTAATGCACCGCCCCCTTACTCAGCAGTGCCATGTGCCAGCATTTCACAATTTTATTGCTCTGTTACATTGCTAATCTCAGTGGCCACTGTAACATCTTAAGTGCTGAAAGTCCCATGGTTGACCAATATTGTAGTGTTACTACACCAGAATGTTGCAGAGAATGGAGGAGGTCAGCCTGTAATCACAGGAAAATCCCCCCTAAAAACTCTTCCCTATAAATTTTTGATTTGAAAGGCAAGTGTGAATTGATTAAATAGTGCAACTTGCCCTGAGACCGTCTAGACAGGAGAGCCCTTGGGGCAACCACCTTGGCAGTGGAAAGCTGTTTGTTTCAAAGCCGTTTTTGCGCCTGTTGTGGCCAGACATTCGCACATTGCATTTGTTCATCAATCTCAACTGACTATGGTTAGGGTGACCGCCTAATCCATGTCAGGGGGACATTATGAGCTAGGACAGGATTTATAAACTACAATTTCTATTAAAAAGACCTGGATTTCACTTTAGCACTTTCTATGTGCTGATTAGTCATAATCAAGCATGTGTCACTAACGTTAATGTGAAACAGCTGGGTGAGTGTTTCAGTCAAGGAAACAAACCAGTAAAAAGCACAAGAGGAACTGAACTAATTAGCCAAGCACAGGAGCCTTTCAGTTTCAAAGTAGTTTGTAAAAGCTAAAGTTGACCAGTCATGGATTAGGTGGTCACCTTTACTACGGTCTGTGTGAGGCTTTCCAGCCAGGATGATGATTGCGGGTTCTTGTGCGTGCCTAATACACCCAGATATTTACACAATGCCTTTCGGATCTTCGGTACAGCCATCCGATTCGGGAGAATGCCCCAGTCGGAGAAGATGAAGCTGAAGGCAGAGATCCTGACCGTGGAGAAGGAGACGGAGAACCCGCAGCTGGCTGACCAGAAGACCCTAGCCAAGCAAATCTACGAGGCCTACCTAAAGAACTTCAACATGAACAAGTCAAAAGCGCGAGTCATCCTGACGGGGAAGACCAGCACACCGGTAGGAGGCCTTTGTCTGCTGACAATTGATGGTGAGATCCATCACCATCAACGGAAAAGCTGATGTGGGTGGGTGGATGCAGAGGATCACTTCTGGGCCAATGTGTTAACATAGGAGAAACACAAGCCTGGCTCTCTGCTGCTGAGAATACCTCATCCAGAGCTCTGTATCTGTTAAAGTTATCAGAACAAACATCTGTATGAAAGAGGCAGGGTGACATTACACAAAAAAATCCCCCAAATAGATAATCTGATAAACGAGTGAGTAAGAGCCAGATTTAGCAATGTACCGGCCACAATAAGGGGGATACAGTTCTGTGTTCCACCCACCCCTCTGTGGGAGGCTCTGCTGCTTTCACACTTGATCCAGTTGCATGGAACATATGTGCGTTCATTGGCCACCAATCAGGCCTGATGTCCTAACACCCCTTGGAAAGGGACCGCTGTCCTCACAGCTGCCTGTGCACGATGAAAGGGTAACACTTTCACAACCCAAGCATTTGCAAAGAGACATTCATTGGAAGTTGATAGGACCTTTTTTCCTTCTAGCAGTCATTGCAGATTATTAACACAACTGGGGCAGGGTGTCTCACCAGGGATATTCTGGGGTCAGAAATTCCATCCGTTGCCCATTCATGGCCAAAGGTATAAACCTTTTTGTCTGGTTATTTCTTACCTCTACTTAACCCAACTAGGCCCTGAAACTTGCCCAACAAGGGTTTATTTCATCCTTCGAGAAACACACCAGAGTTTAATTTCTCTGTATTCTTCTCACCAGCTGTTTCTTCTCGATGTTGTATTCCTCCCATCGCTGCCCAGTCACTGTAAACTAGGGAATCCCTAACCCCATCAAAAAGCTCGCTCTTCTGCATCCTCTTCCTGGGTAATGTGGGTCTGTGGGCCATTCAACCAGTAGTCCTTCTCCGGTCACTTGAAACTGAGTCACCACAGACACTCTGTATCCCCTTGCCTTGCCCTATTATTAGGGATGACGACCGGGTGGTTCCAGACCCCAAGGGTCAGGTGTCTGACATCCGATTGGTCCAGCTCCTGGTTTATGTTACGCTTTCAGGAATTTGATTGCAGTGATTCGCCGGGTGTCAGGGTGGGAAAGGTCGCCGCAGGAGGGATTCCACTGGTTTCTGAACACACACGGCTTCTCTCTACAGGCTCATCGCAGCTTACCCAGCTACCGAACGTGTAAGGCCCAGTGGAGGGCATATTTGGCAAGGCTAAGCTATTTGGAGGACGATGGGGGCAAGACGTGCTCTGAGCTTGTTTGTTTCCTCTCGTTGCGGTATGGCCTGCATGACGCAGAATTTAGGAACTTGATTTTCTGGATTTCCTGGCTTTCGGAAGGGAATTTATAGATCCGAGCCAAGAGGCCTTGCTACGGATGGGATGTTAATTTAAGGACAATGTGGTCTTCCACTAAAGCAGCTAAGAAAAGTGGATACATTTCTGAGCACTGGGCAGAAATCTGAGGTACCCAGGTTGCCCTTAATGTTGACCATCGATGTTGTCCTCCTTGAAGTACACCCGTGTTTTGCAAGTGCCTCTAACATGGCAGCAAATCACATAAGATCTGGAGTGAATTCATGTCTTTGTTTTGGCAACTTGATATGAACACACTGATGCTGGAAATGTTCCGAAGCGCATATGTTTATAGCGTTACTGGACCCACGAGTAGCGGGCAGCTGATATTGTCACGGGGCACGTCCTGAAGAGCGGGGGCAGGTGCACGGCCTGGCCGCCAGAGGCCAGTGTCAAGGACGCCATCTGTGTCATGTGACCATGCTTTCTTTCAGATGGACGCTGGAGGTCTTGCCCCTGTTTTTGCAAGTCAAAGGGTGAGAAGGTTGATAAGATTAGAGTGTTTGTTTTGCTTGCTGTTGAACATCACGACACAGCTGGAGCACGCTTGGCTGAATCTCCAGCCAAAGATCTCTTTCAACCAGGCCACATAGATTTTGAGAGAACCAGACGTCATGCAACTTCAGTCTCATGTCAACAGAAGTTGTGATAGATGTAGGGCACCACCTTCAGGGCAAATGTAAACGTTCAGGAATTTCCTTGATGTTCCCATCCTGAGATTTTGTATTTCAGACTGTTGGTTTCTAACTCCCTCTTTCAGCTCGAACAAAGTAAGTATCTGGATGTCAAACATCTTTCACCTCCTCCACTTTATAGCCCTTCGTCATCCATGACATGGACACGCTACGCCTGGCAGAGCGCACCCTAGTGGCCAAGCTGGTGGGTGGTGTGGGCGGCCTGCAGAACAAGGAGGCAGAGGTACGCATCTTCCACTGCTGCCAGTGCACCTCCGTGGAGACAGTTACTGAGCTGACTGAGTTCGCCAAGGCCGTGCCGGGCTTTTCCGTCCTGGACCTCAACGACCAGGTGACACTGCTCAAGTATGGCGTCTACGAGGCCATGTTTGCCATGTTGGCCTCGTGCATGAACAAGGACGGGCTGTTGGTTGCCTACGGTAATGGCTTCATCACGCGCGAGTTCCTCAAAAGCTTGCGGCGGCCCTTCAGCGACATGATGGAGCCCAAATTCCAGTTTGCCATGAAGTTCAATGCCCTGGAGCTGGATGACAGTGACCTGGCACTCTTTGTCGCCACCATCATCTGCTGTGGAGGTGAGAATGGGTGTTAAGGGTGGCCAACACAGGAACTAGGGTCACGTTTCCGCTGCTAGATGGAATTACAGTCAAGCTCCTCCTTCATAAAACCTTTGTTTGAACTGTCGACTAAATCAGTGTTTCCCAACCTTATTTCTACCATGGCACACTTTGCACAAGGCAGTGTTTTTCAATGGCTGTGCGGCGGCACACTACTGGTTGAAAAACACTGGATTAAATGTATGGCAGAAGATGAAACAATTCCATTTCTTGAATTTTTTTTTCCCCAATTGGTCTCTGTTATGCATTAATGGAAAATTATTTTTTGGGATGCCAGGAAAACTATTAAGAAATCTTGTTCTATGTAATAAACTCATCCAGTGATCTCTCAAGGGGCATGCATCTCTTAGCCAACGCTAACTTATTTTCCTTAAATGTTGGGGTGTGTCTCTCCTCTGCTTGAGCTGGTCTCATCTCTCTCTTCATCTCCTCCTCCTCCTCACAGACCGCCCAGGTCTGGTGAATGTGCAGTACATCGAGCGACTTCAGGAGACCCTGGTTCAGGTGCTGCGCAGCCACCTGCAGACCAACCACCCCGATGACGCCTTTCTGTTCCCCAAGCTGCTGCAGAAGCTGGCCGACCTGCGGCAGCTGGTGACTGAGCATGCCCAGCTGGTGCAGGAGATCAAGAAGACAGAGGACACCTCGCTGCACCCTTTGCTGCAGGAGATCTACCGGGACATGTACTGAGGAACAGGTGGTGCTGGGGGGTGAACCAGCCCACTCCAGCCTGCTGCAAAGTTCACGGGGGCAGACTGTGGAGGCTCCAGAGGAGCTGACAGGCTGCAGAGCTCATCGGAACCTACGCATCCACCTTCAGAAGGTGCACTACTCCATGAGCGCTGATTACCACAATATAAACATTCACCTCATGGTAGTACATTGGCAACTCTTATTGGGTTAATGGCCCATATTCTTTTAAGCTAACTGATTGCAGTACTGGTCTCACTTGCCCCGTCCCTCAGCTTCTTTCACATTCTGTATAAATCGGTAGCAATACAACGCGAGAGAGACCGGAGACAGGAAAGAGATGAACTCATGCACTGGAAGCACTCGCATACCAAAGCGATGCAGCGTTGAATTTCTGAACGCTTTATTCGCTGTGGTATTCTTATAAACCCCCCCCCCCCATCCCTTTGGATATCTTAGTGGATGAGTGTGTTCTTCTGGGGCCTTCCTGGGGAAAAATCACATGGTTCACAGTTTCTTTTATTTATCATGATTTCATGTATATTTCATTCGTAAATGTTTCCAATCCAAGTTCAGGTAAATGTGATTCACCAGTGCTCAAAAAACACTAAAACTAGATTTAGGTAGTTCGTTTCAGCCTTCGGTAGCCTTGTGTAGAAACTCTCCGTTCACGTAGCACTGTCTTAAAACGGAAAATGTCACGTGACCCAACAAACAGTAAATCCACACTGTGTTGCTACATAACTGGTAACAGTCAGTGGTCTTAGCGGTCAGCTTGGCAGTGCAACGTGTGTGATACCAGGTGTTTTGGTCCCAGTTCCTTTTTCCCTCGTTCTCGCGTTTGGATGGAGATGCTGACTGGATGGGTGACATGGAAAGAGCCTTCAGGGGAAAGTTTCTTAACCAACTGGATGTTTTTCATCCCAGAAAGACTGTTTCCCAGCTACTGTATTCATGATGAAATCAAACTTAAAACAGACATCAAATTGTCCTATTTCTAATACCAAATGGAAATAGTTCAATGCCTTGTCTTTGTATATAAGTGTCAGTTTAGTTCAACCTCGTTTTATACAAACACAATCCAATCACTTGGCCCATTAATTTCATATTGTCCCGATCAGAGCTGCTGTAACAATGTTTATCCTGCCTTGAACAGTTTGTTTCCACAACAAGGCAGCCATAGCAACGCCATTTTAAAGAAGCACCATCGGTGATCATCTCCAGTATCGTAGGAAAGAAGTATCTCACATTTTTGGTGTCTGACTAGTCTGTACCTCAGTAGAAATGACCTGCCGACATATTTTGGAGGTTTGTTTTGACTCTAGTGTTTTAAGAGATCAGGAACCTGTACTGGAGGTTTAGCACAGACGTTTGGGTGCCACTTGGTTTCTTGTCTGACCAGTTGGAAGGGGGGGGGGGGGGGGAATGGGGCAGTTCAAGGAGTTTGTAAATATGATCTTCAACTGCTATTGGTTTAATAGGGAAATATAACCAGGTGTGTTCTTGGTGAGAGGTAAACTGAAATAGAGATCCTGTTTTTAAAAGATCTTTAATAAAGGTTTAATAGATGTCTAATAGGAAGGGAAGTTTGATAATGATGTAAAAGAACCCAAATGTGGTGGAGAACTAGGAGTAAGATATTAGCCTTGGGCTATACCTGCCTTCATCATGACGAGTAACTCCTCAACGGTTCAGACATGAAGGTTCTGTTTTACTCATGGTCCATATTCAGATTTTATGGACCCATTGCACTTGATACCCTGTACAGTGTGACACTGGGGGCAGGTAATTCATCAAACGATTCATGAATCCCTTTCATTGGAAAAAGAACAGTGGTATTAACTGATACGTTGTAGGATGAATGGAAAACTCTTGCTCATGCACTACAAAATAATATATTGATTGTTGTAATTACATTCGATCATTTTTATACTGATTGTAAAATATCCAAGGTAACACTAATAAAATATATGCTAAATGTGTATGTAGGTTTGGAATCAGAAGATGTCTTTCTGTAGCCACAGTTAAGTAGGTTTTGGCCCCCTGATAGAGTGACTGGAGTGAGGATGGGGGTTGCCACATCACCCGGAGTGAAACGGGGACCTCTCAAAACTGCAAGAGTGGTGCAGTTAAAGGTTTGTCCACCAGGGGCGCTTCAGATCCCCACCTTCCACTGTCACTGCAATGAAATGTCTGTCCATAGTACTCCTCTTGGAAGAGTGAAGTAAATGCACATTCACCCATCCTTCGTAATTCTGGAAAATCCTGAAATTTTGCCTCGTGTCTTTGTGGGATTTATATGAACTGATGTTGACTGGTGATATCATCATAGCCGGTAGGACAAGATTGCAATGACTGCGTTTTTTTTTTTTTCTTTGGATTTTCAACATTCTGGCCCACATTAGTCATGAAGGCGTGGTCGCACGCAGCGCTGACAGTATTCCCAGGAGGATGTGAATCCGTCACAGAACCACAACAAAATGTGGCAAGTCCATTTACTTTGTTCTGGTATCAGTCCAGAGCGCTGCAACTTAAAAGATTTCTCTGTTTCTTGCAGTAAAAACTCCCGCAGCCATGCCTGTACCAGATTATGATAATGAAAGGTGGACGTGTGGAACATCACGAATCTCTGAATACCTGGTATTCTAATGTCGTCTTGTGTTAATCTTATGAGGTCACACTGCCCCCTGCTGGCTGTGTAATGTATCACTTAAGAATCACCACTAAAGCTTCTCCTTAGCAACGGAAACCCAAATATGAATGTTGACATTCCCACTTTCAAAGCTCATCACAGCTCTGATGAGGACCTTTTCCTGATTTATGTTACTTTGGGGGGTGGGCTTTTGTTACCATTTGTGCCTTAGGAAGCACATGTGTGTGGTGTGGAGACACAGCAAATGACATATGTGTCACTTTCCAGTAAGAAGATAGGTGTCTGCACACATGATTAAGGGCATGCCACAAATCCTATCAGCAGGTGTACATATCCAACCCATCTATTTCTGCATTCTGAAATCCTTTAAAACATCTGCCGTGGAAGTCAGCACTTTCCAAGGTTCACCGAAGTCACTAATCAGTGGGCCAAGCAGACATACAACACTCTACATCCAAAATGCAGAACCGACAAGGTATTTTGTATCACTTTCTCTTGCCTCACTGTGTATCAATTTGTGTTTCACTGACAAGGGATTTTAAATATGTATCAGGGAATATGACGTCGTCTTCCTCAGTTTATACTAGCTCAGGATACTTTTGGGTACTGTTATCATTTCTGTTAGCATAACCGTTAGCATTCTCCTTAGGCTTCCCTCAGCCCCCCCCACCCCAAGGCAGCACTCAGCATGATGCATTAAGTACTTGTCCTGAATGTCCAATCTAGTTCCTTACGTACTGACTATCACCAGTAATCATAAATACCCGGTGGGGCTGCAGTAAGCGAAACCACGACTAATGATTCTATTTCATGTTGGAGTTTCGTACCGTAAATAGGAACAATCCCTAATGTTTCTTTTTTTTTCCATTTTGGTATTTCATGCAGTGGTTTTCTAGCTAGCAGCCATGAGAGGACTGCAACTCAGTCTGACCAAGTTGGTGTTATTGAATTGTAATTATGGACTAATAATATTGTACATGTTTGATGAATGTATGTTTAGTCACTTAAACAACAGATGATTTGACATTTATGGATTTAAAACAATAAAACATTGAATTCTTACCTGTTCCACTGGTCATTCTAACTCTGAATGAAAGTTATTTTGTAAAATTTTGAAATACTGACATAATACATAGTGGCATATTACCATTAAGATTTGTTGGCCAGATAAACTATATTCTGTTTTCATCACCACAACTTTATTTAATATATTCCGTTGAACACTAAATTGAAATTTATCTGACCACCAAATCAATAAAATGATATAAATTTTCAATGGAAATACGGTTTGTAAAGTTGCCGAAAACTGAACATTGTACGTCACTCTGATCTTTTCATAAATTATTACACCTACTTCTAGGTGGTTTCTGTCCTGTTAATTATAACTTGTTTGGTCTTTTAAGTTAAAATGGACTTGAATCATTTAATAGCCACCATAAATTCATAAATACATTTAGGATATATTTCCTCAGCGGCTTTTATAGCGTTGTACTTCAGCTGTATTTTGCTAAATTTTAAGTAAAGAGAATCACGGCGCAGAATACGATCTGGGTACTCCTACTTACTACCGGTAGATGGCGCCACGTCCTTTCATTCTCAACGACGAGATTAAACCCTGTTTATCGCGCCATCATGACAAAAATGGCGGCGCCCATAGCGAAGTCATGGAAGTTGTTCGCGAGACATAAATACTACTTATTATCAGGATTGAAAAATGTGAATCCCGGATTATACCCAAGGCACGCCTCCTCAGGGAGCAGTGAATGGGGATTTCTGTATTTGTTAAACCAAAGGGGGGTTTTAGAGGACATTCTTCCCGAGTCTGGCCAGCTGTCGCTGTCTCGGCTCTTGCATTCGGGCGCACAGACGGTGTACTGCGGCTTCGACCCCACGGCCGACAGCCTGCACATCGGGAACCTGCTACCCGTCATCGCCCTAATGCACTTCCGTAACGCCGGACACAATGTCGTAGCAGTCATCGGCGAAGCCACTGCCCAGATCGGGGATCCTTGCGGCAAGCCCGTGGAACGGGACCGACTATCCGTCGGTACAATGAAGGAGAACGCCAGGGGCGTCAGAAATTGCCTGCAACGATTATTCATCCATCATGAACTGTGCTTCTCAAGCGAGCATCAGAAGCTTGGATCGGTGGCAGTGCTAAACAATGCCAGCTGGTACCGCGGATGGAGTGCCGTATCTTTCCTGTCCGAGGTGGGGAGACACTTCCGAATGGGGGCGCTGTTAAGCAGACACGGCGTTCAGTCGCGACTGAAGAGTGCCGAGGGCCTGAATCTGACCGAGTTCACGTACCAGCTCCTTCAAGCCTACGACTTCTATCACCTACATCAGCACCAGGACTGCAGGATCCAGGTCGGGGGGGCGGACCAGCTCGGCAACATCGCGTCCGGACAAGAATTCATTCACAAGTAACTAGGCCCATGCAGATAATCATACGTGCTGTTCTGTATTATTCATCACAAAGCAATAGTAGCGTATTTCATAACTAGCGCAAAATATCTTATTATGCGATGGATTAAATGTATGTTAAAAGATCCTGGTGGAATCAGTTAACCAAAAACAGGCACTTATCTGATTTGTCATTTATTCTAATGCTGGGGTTATTCAAGCAATTGTGAGGCACTTGGTTACATACAGTACAGTAGGCCCAGTGCCATAACCACACTGCTCCCTGCTGAAGGTCTTATCTGTCCTGATGAAGGTCATTAAAAGCCAACTAACACAAAGAATGACACGCTAACCCAGATGGCCTAATTAGGGAACCATCCAGGACCGAAACAAGTTAATTGAATGGCCTGACCTGACATTTTGTATGAAAATGGCTGCACTGCATCACATATCCACGCATTGGTGGTACCTGATATATAACATTGTACGCCGTCAATATTATGAATGGAATTTGTAAATGTAGCTCATTAGTCTGCTTTAATTATTAATTGGAATAGGCTGGTGCTTCATATAAGGGAAGGCTGGATCTTAAAAAATCTGGTTTAATCTGGACTCTGCCTTCATCATTGACGTGGTGTAGGATGACTGGGCAGGACGTGTACGGACTCACCGTGCCGCTGGTAGCCAGCTTTGCAGGGGACAAGCTGGGGAAGACAGCGGGAAACGCACTGTGGCTGGACCGGGAGCGGACGTCACCCTTTGAGCTGTTCCAGTACTTCCTGAGGCAGCCCGACAGCTGTGTGGAAAGGCAGGTGTTCGTTCGGAGACAGGCAGGTGTGTCAGGTCTGCCCCCTGCAGGAAGGGAAAGGCGTAGCACTGTCAAAATGCAGTATGATGAATCAATCAGAAAACTTTCATTATCCCAGAGGAAATTGCTGGTGATTACAGACTGTACAGTACACTGCCACACAAAAGGCAAAAAGAGAAAATACACTTACTGTATAAAAATAAGTGTAATATATAGATATGGTAATAAATAGGTTGGTGAATATAGTAAACATTGGACTAGAAGATGGATAAATGCAAATTCATGTCAAGGGATTGGTTTGTAATCGTACGTTCATCTGCCCACCAAAAAATCTATATCTGGTGCTGGAAGATGCTTTTTAAAAGACAATGATATTGAGATGGTTTCACTTGTTTTATTTGTCATATGCAAGTATAAATGCAACGTGGTCATGCAGTGTTATGGGATGGATTTTGTACACGCTGACGGCAGTAACAGAAGTTGTTTATGAATCTCCCCACGTTTGTGTATGAGAGCCAGTCGCGGATGTGCCGTCTTCCCTGATCGGTCGGTGGTTTCCCCGATGCAGGTACCTGAGGCTGTTCACATTCCTCTCCTTGGAGGAGGTGGGTCATGTGATGGAGGAGCAGAAGCAGGACCCCGGCAAACGGTCTGCGCAGCGGCAGCTGGCGGAAGAGGTGACCAGACTCGTCCACGGCGAAGACGGTGTGGAAAGCGCCCGGAGGCAAGCCGCTCCCCTTTAACTGTGGCTCCCTCTAGTGGTCCCTGCTGAAATCATCCAAGCTACTCCATTTCCTTGCTCTGTTACCTCATTGCATGCCGACAGGTGCACGGACGCCCTCTACCATGGCAGCCTGGAGGCGCTGCAGGAAATGAGTGATGTGGAGCTGCAGGAACTCTTTAGGGAGGTGCCTGTCTGCGAGTTGGTGCTGGAGCCGAGATTCACCGTGCTGGACGTCTGCAGGAAAGCGGGGGCTGTTCCCGACGGGCCCCGTGGGTAAGTATAGGGCAGCCGTCTGCTAAATCCTGCAGCTGTGAAGCACTGGAACCTCATACCGGTTCTCAGATAAAAATGATGTAGTCTGTGAGGGCTTCAGCTCGGGTCGGAACAAGCAACCATCAGCTTATTATACTAACCACAATGCTGACCATAGCCCTACTTCAGTGTTGATTTATTTTTAACTGTCTTGGGTGATTGTCTTTTGAGCTGGAACGAAGTCTTGTGGAAGCAGTTCCCTTATGTGTCCAAGGTTCTGGTGGTGAAATGATCCATTTTCCTCATATTTTTAAAAACATACAAGGACTAACAGGAAGAGTAAAAAAAAAAAGAATCTAAAGTTATATCTTGTGGCCCAGTTGACCATGCATCTCATGCCGGGCAGGTCCCGGATGGTGAAGGAAGGGGCGGTGTGGCTGAACCACTGCCGGGTCGACTGTGCAGAGCAGCTGATCAGTCAGGACAACCATATCTTGGCCAACGGGCTGACCTTGCTTAGGGTGGGCAAGAGGAACTTCTACATCCTTAAATGGTTGACCTCGTAACCCTTCTTCAAGCTCTCTGAAAGGGGCATGATGGACCGTGTGCTTCCAGACTGAACTACTTTTGGACAGTCAGCTGACTTTATGACGTAGGACAATATTCCAGTGTATACCAAGTATATTTAAGGCTTAGTATGGCACTGTATGTATCATACATTAAAATGGGGGGGGGGAGGGGGGCGGGCAGCAACACAAAGCTGTTTGTTGAACAGAAAGAGCAAAACCACATCATCAGTAATGCAAGTTAAGGCATCGTTCGGGTATGTTTGCACTGTTTTCCAGGTGAGCAGCCCAGTGCTGCCCCACAAAGGCTGAACACCGTAACTGCATGTTTTATCAAAATCAAGTTATGACCAAAATCAGGTCTGTTGTACACTGTGATAAAATAACTAACTTCAGCTATGCTCAGTTTTGAAGAAAAGAGTGTGAAAATTAGAATACCTACAACCCCCCCCCCACACACACACACACAAAAAAAATAAAAGGAAAATAATAATCAGGCAAAACAACTTGTACCTTTTTCTCAGTTCCACTATCAGTGTAGTAAACATGTTTTGCCTTTGGAGGGCAGTGTGGCTCAGTGGGCATCTCTGCTGTCCCCTAGTTTGTGTGTGTGGGCCCTGGGATTATCCAGTGTTCTGTCCACGGTGTACCCCAGCCTTCTGCCCTATACTGTATGGGGTAGGCTCTGTAACTATGTCCAAGGTAAGATTGGAAGATTAATGCATGGAATAAATATGTAAATACGCAGTCAAATTCCTGTGCTACTGTTGTAAAGGCTGCTATTGGTGTTCCCTGATGACTTTCTCTGAAATTGAATGTTTTCAGTCCTACCACTAGGTGTCAGGATTGGCCTTCCTTCAGTTGTCGGCTTTCTTCAGTTGTCATTCAGTATCTCATTTTTTAAAATTGGACTATATCAATTTGACGGCATATAATGTGTGTAAACATTGTATAAGATGTGTAATTCTTTCAAATGGAATTTATCATGGGGTAAATGTAGCCATGTGTGGCTGACCTGTTATTTTCTTGGGTCCAGGAGTGGTTCGTCCATTTTTTTCTGTTTTAGTGAAGTTCTCCTAAGCCTATGTAAACTGTCACTCGCCGTCTATGGGGGGCTGTGATAATTCAGACTGACTGCTACAAAAATCGGAGTCGTTTAAACCGCGGACTAGACTGTTGGTCTTCAGTTTTTTAAATGGGTGCCAACGTTGTTTTAAAAATGTACAGCGTAAACTGAGGCTTCAGTTCTGGTTGCTGCAACGACAAAATATGTCACTGCTCAGATAAGGGCGAACATTTTTGTCTGCTGAACCTACGAGCAAATGCACTCATTTCATCAGGACCGAGAGAATCATATGGTGTAATGAAATACCTCACCTCCGACCACAATTTCTTGATTTCAACAATTTCTAGTGATTCCAAATGAATGATAGAACTGAATTAATTTAAGTCCAACCTGGAGTAACTATTAAAACCTATCCCCGACTGTATTCCGGGTTTTTCCGGGGCCAAAGGCGCTGCGGGTTTTACGAGCTTTCCAAGGCACCTTGCTCCGCGGTTAGACGGCGCGAATACACTTACTACGCCGGATTCACTACGCTTTGGGGGAGTGATTCCTAAGCGTAAACAAAACACTTCAGACCACGACTGGGTCGCCGCACCCACCAGCCTGTTTCCAAAAATACAAAACTAAATCAAGTCAGAAAAAAGCGGCCTAAAGAATACTGGGTAAGACACAAAAATCCCTTTTATATACTCGTGCATTACTCCGCATTTTTACATATAACTTAATTCAAATAATTCAAAAGAAGCATATGTTTAAACCAATTCAATCGATATTAATCAATATACTTAATGCCCAACAGTTAAAAGAACCAAACAGAAGACAGTGATATTTTGGAGGAATGCAGTCTGCATAGTCGCCAGTAGTGGGCAGAGACTGCATAATAATAATAATTATGCTTTGCACTGTAAAAAGCATTTTTTTACATTTTCTGAAAATATACATAATTGAAATGCGGCCGAATAAAAGGTTGCAGATGTAAGCACGGTTACACCTCGGCCAGCGGACTGGCACCGGCACGCACAGCCGGGTTCACCTTAAAAGTGGGCGGACCGCTGGCTCGGGCCAATGGCTCTTTCGCTCTGTTTAAATAGCTCTGGTGTCAATCATTTTTCTCAACCATCGCCATATTGGGATCCTAAGAGTCTCGTCTGCTCCTTCCACTCTCTTATTTGACTCAGAGGAGATATTGACAGGGTGTTGTTTGCTTTTTGCAGCTGTGGGTTTTGCCGTTGCAGATTTGATGGTGGTCACCCTTTTGCGCGCATCGCCGCACTGACTCGCCACTGTTACCGCCGGGAAGGACTGCTTCTTTCTGCGCACGGCATGCCTGCGTTTGCGGCGATCGCTGCCTCTACGCCAGCTTTGGATCGTGCTTGAATCGGACGAGGGGGGAAATACGTGGTAATTTTCTGCAGTGATTTTGGGTACTTCTGTTGTTCTTATTTTTTTTGTTTCTCCCAAACACGGAAAATGTCAGATGTGCGGCTCTCGAATGGGAGTCCCCCCCTGGAGAGGATGGAGGCGCGGGTGTCGGACTTCCCGAAGCCGTCAGCCTGCAGGGTGCTGTTCGGGATGCCGAACCATGAGGAGCTGCAGCGGGAGTTAAGCGAGCGCCTGCGGGAGATCGAGGAGGCCAAAAGCGACAAGTGGAATTTCGACTTTGCGGCTCACAGGCCGCTCCCGCCCGGGAGGTACAAGTGGGAGCCGGTGGACGACGCCCCCGAGTTTTACGGCGGACCGCGCTGCACGCCAGCGGACTCCCGGCCAGCGGACGCTGCAGCGGAGAACGGCGTGGATGTTAATGGACACGGCGGCTCGGTGCAGGAGAGCGCCGGAGCCCGGCCGCCTGAACACATCTCGGAAGGGCAAACGGACTGCAAGGAGCGGGCGACGAGTCAGAAGAGAAAGCGAGCGAGTGCCGGTACGATGTCTAGCCAACGAAATCTGGATTAAATTTTATTTTGCAGTCATGTTTACGGCAAAACTCCAACTCCTGCCTTGCAAGGCGCAGATGCACTAAAACAGTTATGCAGTCAAACTTCCTTGCAAGGCTTAATTTTGCACTCCGCTACTAAATATCCGTATGTTGCCATTTATTACGTAGTAAGAACTCCGTGCACCATGTTTTTTTAAATGTACTACAGCAATCGGAGTGGCTGAGGTACTAATAAAGCCTTTCATCTTGCATGCAGTACAGCGTTATTCCTCGTAATTTTAACGCTATGTGTTATTCTCCTATGCTAGATTGCTCGTCGCAAAAAAAACGATCGCGGAACAGTTCGGATGAAGTTATTCGTAACCCAGTTGTCCCCCATTCGGTTGAAAACACACCCAGGAAATCCAGCCCAAAGACTCAAACGTGAGCATTACGGTAAGGTGCTTTTTTGTTTCTTATAAGGCTCTTTGGTTATGCATTTATTTTAATGGCTTGTGCGAGCAGCTGATCGCACTGCCGTTTGCCCGAAGTTCTGACGGAGTTTGCAACTTTGAAATGTTGCAAAGCCGTATCCGTTTTAAGATCCAGAAAACAGAATGTTTTTCTCTTGCCTAAACAGTAATCGGGAAAGCAAAGTCTGGATATGTCCTAGAACTGTCCATCTAGAAATATACTTAAGTGTTTGGAAATTCTTAACGGGACAGTGGATTAAAAGGCATAACAAATAAAAATATGAACGATCGTAGGTTAACCTTTATGTTTTAACTTTGTTACTGACACTTAATTTAGAAATGCATTTAAAGGCGTTTATATGAAGGTGAACGAACTGGTCAGTTATGCAGGTTTATCTAGTTAACTTGTGCCCCAAATCTCGGTGCGTCATTTTGAGAATAGATTCAGAAACACTAGTTGGTGATAAATTTGGCGCCGACGCCCGAAAGGGGTTAAACGCGAAGGGAGCCGTGCGCGTTTCGCGGCGCTTCCTGCCGCCTGTAAACAAGGCTGTAGTAACACGTCAGCAGCTCCGGAGCCCCGCGGCTCTGCCTACGTGTTCGGCCGAATCCGAAGTGGACCTTACACCGGTTTCCACTTCGGTGCGGAGCCGCCGATTTATGATTTAGGTCACGCAGTCTCACCGTCCGCCGGATAGCATTACAAACATGAAGTCTACTTTTAAAAAAGCGCAAACTATACTTTTGGTAATATCGTATTTCATGCAACTGCGATGGAATTAATACATATAAAATGATGCAACTGGTGAAGTAGCTGATCCCCCCCCCCATTCAGGATGTTATGCTGAGATTTGATTTTTGCATTTGGCGTATTGCGAGGAGGAAGTAAATGTATTTTTTAAAATCAATTTTCTTATCTGACTTCTCCTCGCAGAGCTGAAGATAAACAACAATGTCACAGAATACTTCAGTAAAAAGGAACTGCAGATGGATGAGGGGAACCGATTTCATTCGGACTCTTCCAAGGATGTGGAGACTTAGACACTGAATTAAAACACTAACAGTCTGGCACTCAGCAAAAGTTAATCTGCCTCTATAGCAGTAAATGTAGCAATTTGCAGTTAGCCTCTGCTAATTTTGGCCGTTGTTTTTTTTTTTTAAACTACCTGTGTATATATTTTTCTATTCATATGTAGCACATAAACGTTTTTATTACGGAGAATTTTTTCCCCCTTTGTATAAAAGTGTGAATTTTTGATTTGACTTGAAGGCTTGCATTGTAGTTCTCAGAATATTGCAAAAAAAAAAAAAATGGAAGGTGTCAAATCCTTTAGTAGATAATTTGCATGAAAGCGATGCAAACAAAATTTACAAATCAGGGTGTGTTCATAATCCTGGTCTAATTTATTATTCTGTCAAATTGAAGTTCTTTGCTTTTTAAGACATGTATGTGTACATGAGGAGAGTTTTAGTACAGTATTCAACTTTGGTTCACTGGCTAATTCGATCTTTCTCTGGACACATTAATGGTGAGTCCCAGTTTTTGTCAGTTGGAGGGGGTGTGTAGGTGGAAACATACACAAACATCTAGTTTTGCCATTCATGCCTTAGTCTGAATAAACTAGTCATTTAGAGCAGGAGCATCAGTTGTGTTTTTTAATAAGGCCTCATAATCCTGGCACCTTGTGAATATCGGAGTTGGCTTTAAAAAAAACTACTTTTAATTGAAGTTAAATGCATACGGTCAACATCTACAGTATTAATTGTACATTGGCCATGGCTGTTTAAACAGTCTTATTTATACGTAATGTTTTGGTTGAGTTGTCCTACTGAACATATAATACATTGTAACTAAAATATTGTGTTTTTTTTTTTATATATTTAATGATAGTATATTTACCCTCAGACTGACTTAAAATTACTCGATTTAATTTTTTTTCCTGCCCAAGAGCATGAATCAGCAAAATGTATTTTTATAATGTATGCATCCACAGTACCCCTGTTTTTTATTTTTTATTTTTTGTTCTTCCCACTTGTTAACTCTCCCCCCCACCCCCGAATAAGACTTGGCACTATTATTCAGAAGTTATTTCTTACACTGCATGTGTATTTGTGTAAAACAGGAAAGTGTACCTGTGTACATAACTGTAAAAACACTGAGAAAACTAACTTATTTATGTTTTTTGTTCTTTTTCTTTTTTAAACGGGTTGGGTTAATCCTCGGCTTTTTTTTTTTTTTCCTTGTTCCTTGTTTAAAGCGCTTATTTTTTTTGTAATTATTGATTGGTAGTATTTCTTTCAGATGTTTTTTAAACAGATCATATATGGTTGCAAACTGAGCCTTTATTTGATATTTGCATTTTGAATTGTGTGCAGGTGTGTGTGTGTGTGTGTGTGCGTGTGCGCATGTGTGTCTGTTGTGCTCCTTTTGTTACAATCAATTAAAAATGATTTGGCAAATGATTTTGACTTCCTGTCTGCATTGGGCTGTTTAAGTATTTATTTTTACTAGTGGAAACTGAATGGTATGCTAAAATTCCTAAAAATAAAAACTAATTTCCTTGCATGGCAAAATACACCAATCTGTAAATACAAAAGACAAACTTAAACACCATAGCCACCTACACCAATGACGCATTAAATATATCTGACACATTTAGATGTATACAAGCGGATGTTACTGGGAATGTGATTTAAAACGGGATCATGTAGCTTTTTTTAACACCTTTATAGCACAAGATGTTTTTCAGGCCACGTGGAACAGCCAGTTCCTTGGAGCAGTACTGCACAAGTGTTACATCATTTGGGGAACCACAATTTACAAACATTGCTCTGCCCTCTGCTACAGTGACCATTCACCCAAACGCATGTCGCGGGGACTTTGGTGAACACTGATACCTGGTCAGATCCTGCAGCAGAAAATACTGCAACTATGGTGACCTTTAGTCACCCTCAGCCATTCGGAGCCAAGTAGATTTCAGGCTAGTACGTGTGATTGGTTATTAATAAACATATTTGTATGGGACTCTGATGACCTCGACAAGTGAAGGTAGAGATACACTGACGTTTTCAGACACAGTTGTTAACCCCCATGAGTAACCCCCAAGAGTAACCCCCACGACGTGTTACTATTTTATCAACAAAAACAGAACTGGATTTTGGATTGCTGTCAATATTATAATGCAGTCGTAGTACAATCTAGTTTATTATTGGTACTTCACAATGTATAGACATGTATAAACATGTAGAATATATATATGTATGTATATATGTATGTATATATGTATGTATGTATACGCGCAATGATTTGTTCTTTAATGTTTTATTTACTCACATAACCACAGAGAAGTTGTGTGACTGCAAATCAGCATGACATCATACCCCCATTTACCTGGATGAATGACTCGGCTCCTGTTTCTAGACTATAATTAGGCTAATAAGCCCAAAAGTGATAGCTAATTGTAAAAAAAAAAAAAAATACATAGTTGAAAAAGTAATTCAAAGTATTTCATATTGTATGCAGTGTTAATTCATGCCTAGCGACGGTGGCGCAGGGAATGGGTTGGTGCAGCTTGTGTACGTGCAGGCTGGAGCCAGACGTGTTTCCTGCACATTGTGGGGCGTGCGCTGCTTTTTGGTAAAACCGCTTAACGTGCAGACAGAGTGCATCGCCTCTTTCGCTGTAAAATGGATGAGATGGGAATGGACCCGGGCCGATTCCTCGCACCGTAGCGATCCGGGGCTAAACGCTGAGACGCACGAGACCTTGAAAGCCTGGAGTAGGGGGGGGGAATAAGGGCCCTCCACGGAAAAGAGGCGCTTTACTGACGTGCGACTCACCCAATCCGGCGGGGGTGCAGAAAAGCACACCACTGACGGCAGCCACTGACATCGGCCTGCTGCACGATCCGGAGCGGCGCTGCGGGCGGAGGTTCGGGCTGAACCCCGAGAGGGGCCGGGCCCTTCCGCCACATTCATTGGATAGTTTGTTTTTCTCTTTTTGCTGATGCAAGCGACTTAAAATAAGCAGGAAAAAAATGCATAGGTGTGGTTTTCTGTCGTTCGCGGCCGGAGTGCGGACTTTTCAAACAAAGCGTTTTTACTTTAGCCGCTTGTTTGTTGCGCTTTAATAATGCGCAAGTAATACACCAGTAACCTGGAGGAGCCGAACGAAAAGTAAAACAGGCCTATTATGCAACATAATTTAATATTTTTATACAGACCCGCTGATCCGTAGCAAAGGGACACTCCGAAACGCCGATTTACTTGAGGAATGATTCAAACCGAAAAATAGTTTTTATTATTTGCGAGAGCTCGACTGTCCTGTGCTGCTGGGATTTAACTGCATTTATTTGAGCGGAAATCCTTGGAGAAATTCTTGTGGAAAAGTAGTGTGTCGTAGTTCTGCCGTGGAGATGATTCCAGGAAAGCATATGAAAGCCCATGTCAAACGCAAGGCAGGGAATGTTCGGTGAAAACATTTTAATTAAAATAAATGCATTTATATTTTAATTCCAGGCGCTGACCTTGGAGTGTGCCAGTAGGTGACACCCTCCCCACCTTTAGAGCCGTTTACGTTAATTAAAAAAAAAGAATTTTACATTTTCACGTTAATATATAGCTACGAGGGTAAATGGCTTAAATCTGTATACCGTTCAGGAGCAACGCTAATCCCGGTATTTAAAAGTCAGGGTGAACTTAAATTACCTGCTTGTTGAAACCCATAAATCAGCAGAATGTAGGAGTATAGCAGCTGAGTCCCCATCCACTCCCCCTGACTCGTAAGGAACGACTTCCATTCAGTTAAAAAAAAACAGGCAAACTTCAAATGTACAGCATATAAATCAAATGCTGTCTTAGTCATCACAACTACAGTCTCGGTACACATACAGTACTATAGCGTAGATGCAATCTAAACGGATAAATTATCCATGATCAACACACTATGCTCATAGATTCGCAAAATCTTCGATAACACTGTAAAACGCTTTTTACACCTACTTGCCTACTTGCTACAATCATATTCATTCCACAGTATTATACTGTACTTGTACTTACACCACCAGAATATAAAAATGGTACCATCCAGAAACAGTCACACATATTAGCTCAGGAAAAGCATTTATCAAAGTGATATCTAAATTTGTATTTGTTGATATAACAATCACAATAAAACCTGGACATATGACAGATGTATTAATGCCCCTTTGAAAAATAGCCTGTGAAAACGCCAGTGTGTATATTTTTAGTTAGGTAACTTTATGAAAAAGTGAGCTATTAAACTCACAATAGGATTACAAATTCAACAAGAAATTCATTGCTCTGTAGCCCTGGAACAGAAATCCTACAAATTTTTGGCTAAATGGTCTCAACATGTTGCAGTTCAAATTCTGTGTGATTAGGTCAGTTTCAGAAAAGTAGGATTTGCACATTTTGCAAATTAGCTAACAATCTAAGGGGCACAGTTTGATGATCTCATTAGCAAATATGCTTGAAACCAAGGAATCTGCAGAAAACAGAATTTACTTTCTATGACCCACAGTGCAGAAAATATGGGCCAAAATGTAAAACACAGCTACCATTAGGCTGATCAGTGTTTATTTGCAGCCCTGAACAGTGGAGGGACTGTTGCACCATGGCACCAAATTTCATGATCCTAGGTCATATACAAGAGTAATTATAGCCTGCTGAAATCTGATTGACTGTTGTAAGAACATAAGAAATTTACAAACGAGAGGAGGCCATTCAGCCCATCAAGCTTGTTTGGGGAGAACTTAACTAATAGCTTAACGCTGTTAAATTCTTATCTAGCTCTGATTTAGGAACCCAGGGTTTTAGCTTCCGCTACACTAGCAGGAAGACTATTCCATACTCTAACTACACGCTGTGTAAAGAAGTGCTTTCTCAAATCCAGATTAAAATGTTCTCCCGATAATTTCCTCCTATGGCCACGAGTTCTTATATTTGGAGTAATTTTGAAGTAACTGGCTAAACAGCATCCAGACCCGTTAGAATCTTACATACCAAGATCATGTCCCCCTTAGTCTCCTTTGCTCGAGGCTGAACAGATTAATCTCAGCTAACCTCTCCTCATAATACATTCTTCAAGACCAGGAACATTCTTCCAGTACTATGTTGAACCCTTTCTAAGGCAGCAAAGTCTTTCTATGGCAAGGTGACCAAACCTGCACACAATATTCTAGGTGGGGTCTTACCAAGGAATTGTATAATCATAGCATCACCTCCCTTGACTTAAACTCCACACACCTAGAGATGTAACCCAACATCCTATTGGCCTTTTTTATTGCTTCCCCACACAGGCGAGAGTGGGACATGGACGCATCAACATACATACCGAGATCTTTCTCATAATCAGCTGCCT